TAATCTAAAGCCATAAAGATGACACTAGATGATGGTGTCTTTTCTTGCTCTTCTTGAAAGCATCCTTTTTCTATTTCTCATAGTATGTTCTCAAATACAGCTATTTATAATTTCTGTCAAAAATCTACCTTTGTGAGGTATGGATATTCATTTGCTGGTATACTCATCATTGATGAGTAGAATTCCTCTTGAATTAGCCACTTTCCCCCCCCGACTTTCACCTGTCATTTAGATTCACCTTCAACCATGGAACTGAGAAGTTAATAGAAGGTGATTGAGTTTGGCAGGTAAAGTAACTGAATTTACCTCTTCCCTGTAGATGATGATTACAGAGTGCTTGTTAGGCAATGTTTTAAGTCCTTCACAACAAAAGTTGGACGTACAGCCTGTTACCATCCCATTGTATGTATAAGGATAGAGCAGAGTACCTACGATCTTGATAGGATTGTTACTGAGTTATTTTTATTAGTACTGTATTATCTGTAGAATGGGATAACATTAAGTGGATAAAGTAAAAGTGACATTTAAAAAGGAAGGTTTTCTTCCCCCCTACCCCAAGGACAAAAGTACATGAGTGACGGTTCTGTTTTCAATACTGAAAGTAGAAATAACCTAGAGGTTCTGATGTTAGTTAAAAGTTGTATATTCAATGTTTATCATGCTTCTATCATAATAAATCATGGACCATGATTTTAATGCATGGAAAGATGCATTAAAATGGTAAGTAAAAAATACAAATATGTAGCCACACTGAATGACACTTAAGTGTATCTGGTAATGTAACATTGAGTAGCTGACAAAGGGTAGAAAAAGCAGTGGAAAGCAACAGAGGTCTCTGGAGAGCAGTGATGGCTCTCCATCACTGGAAACAGTAACATTTAAGAAGGAATGGAATCGAAATTTAAGAATAACAACACAGATGACTGGAAGGGCTGTACTCTCCAAGATGGAGTATCTATGCTGTGTGAAATGTTCCAAAGTATCTTCAGTAATAAATTTAAGTTCCTCAGAAATAGAATTTTTTATTTACAGGCATTGCCATGCATAAAGGAGGTGGTTTGTGTAGGGCATAGCATGTTTAATGAACATATTCCAGGTCAGTAGGGGGCAAGTCAGAATTCAGAATGCATTATTTCATAGACTTGGTTGTATGAGATCATCGAACTGTTTGGTTTTGTTCTTGTTATAGGAATAGTGTAATGCAAAATGCACTTTAGGGAACATTGGGATGTTACTGGAGGTGTGCATGTGGTTTTCTGTGGGTGGGTAAGTAGCTTGAGTAGGTAATCAGTTATGATGTATTTAAAGAAAATGTTCCAGAGTGAGGGATGATTGAAAGTCTTCTGGAGTCGTTTGAATGTATTGTTTTAAATAAAAATCCATGAACATCTACCATTAATCTAAATGTAATCTTTGTTTTTGATGCCAAAAGCATCCTGTGTGGGGCATATCTTGAGACTCTGCGTACGTTCTGGTTATCTGTTAGTATAGAAAATACAGCATTTAGCCCAAGGAACTACAAACGAGGTATTTAAGTATAAATCAGTGGAATTCTCCACTCTTCTCTGCCACTCAGTCTTCAGCATCAACTACTTAGGTCAAGGTTGCCAACCTCTCTTGCTTCCATGACATTGCACTCACCTGGTTTTGCTCCTCTTGAGTTAGTACTTTTCAGATTTCTTTGCAGATTCCTCTTCCTTGGCTGACTTCTGAATGTTTTGTGCCTGTGGGCTCAGTTTAGTGTTATGGGCCATCTCTAAAAATAGTCTCTGCATAACTCCCAAATCTGTTTCCTTCAGCATTATGTCTAACACCACAAATATTTTGTACTTAACTGTTCAAGCTTCAGGTATCCCAAACCACATTTGTAGTCTCTTACTTTCTAACTTATTTTTCACTCTTTTCTTTTTGTGTTAATGGTACTATACCTATCCTAAGTTTTCCTCTTCAATTTCTAATTCTCCAATTCTGTTAATCTTGCCATCACTGTCAAGGTCAACAGAATTACCACTTTCTTTTTACTAATGCCCCTCCACACTCACAGTTTTGCACTCCTTTTAGTCTCTCTACATGGCAGTCTGTCATTTTTCTGTAATATAAATCTGATCATGACAGCCATTTTAAAGCTTTGCATCATATACTGAATTTCAGTCTTCCCTACCTCACAGTATCCCCCTACCTTACTCACCACAGTGGCCAGTTTCACTCCCTCAAATGTGCCAGTGCTTTTATCTGCAGCAGCTTCCAGTTCATCCTTTGCATGGCTGGCCCCTTCTCATCCTTCAGTACCGTCTTCTCCTTAGAGAATCCTTCACTGACTGCCCACTGTAGATTTATGCACCCATTCCCCATCTCTTTTACTTCATGGCAGTAGTCACAATTTGTGTCTACTTAAACTGAGTGCAAGCTCCTGAAAGCAGAGACTGTATTTGTTTTATTAACTAGTATATCATCAGTGTAGAGCATCTAGTAAAGTGCTCTGTATGTTTTTTTTTGAATGGCATAAAATGTGAGTGAAGGAAGGTCTCCAGATGTAGAATGTTTATCATATTGTTTTATACTTCCTATAACTTCTTATATTCTGAATAGTAGGTGAGTTCAGAGTAGTCTTACTGATTTCATTTTAATATCAATTTTTCACAGTGTGAGAGAACAGAGATGAATGATAAACAATAATGGTGACAAATAAGTAAACAACTAGTTGCAATACCATGGGCAAGGTATTACAATTAAGGCTTGTCCAAGGCTCATCAGGAGTACAGAATGGAGAGTTTTGTGGGTTTTTTTGCGGGGAGGGGAAATTCCTTTAAAGGGCTATGACATGGGCTGGGTCTTGAAATACAGCCATGTTCACAAAGCTGGTAGGTGGGATAGGGAAAGATAAAAGGACATTTAATACCTTGCAGTTCAGCCCCATGGTGAGACATGTTGAAGATAACAGAGTATCCCTTGATACCCAAGTTTGTTATGTTCCTGAATTTCTGGAAGCAGTTTTTAAGAGCTGACAGCTATTGAGTTCCTTAGTTTGAGTAGGGAGAATTTGGGTGTAGCAAAGATGTGGCAGAACAGAACCTACCGAATAGCAACCTATGATATGGTGAGGGTTGGGACTTCATGGAACCAGTAGAAGATTTTAAACAGGGAGCCGGTCACATGATTAGTATTTCAGAAAAATCATTCTGGTGACAATATAAAAGGTTATGAGACTCCAGGCAGAGAAGCAAGTTAGGAGGCTGAGTCGGTAGGTAAGGGATAATGAGGGAATAAATAGACAAGGGAAGAGAGAAGGGAACAAATTCAAGAGATTTTAAAACCACAGGAACTGGTGGGAAGAGAGGACATGATCTCAAGACTTCTTCTGGTCTCAGGATCATTGTAGGTAGAAGTGTGGTTCAGTATTTGAGGAGCATGTTTTCTGAGGGAGATGGTGTCTTAAAATTATTGAGTGAGGTAATGGTTGGATACATATTCTCAATAGATAAGTATTCATGGTAAGTATTAGCAATCTGAGTCTGAAACTCACAAGATCTGGGTTAAAAGATTCAACTTGGGCCAGACGTGGTGATGCATGCCGGTAATCCCAGCTTTTTGGGAAGATCATGGTTCAAGGCCAACCAGGCAAAAAGTTAGCTTGGTGTGATGGCACGTGTCTGAACCAAGGTACATGGCAGGCATAGATAGAAGGATTATGGTCCAAGACTGGCTCTTGGGCAAAAATGAGAGACGCTGTCTGAAAAATAAAAAGGAAACAAGAAAGGTCTGGAGGGCATGGCTCAAGTGGTAGAGTGCCTTCCTGGCAAGCTTGAATCCCAGAGTTCAAACACCTGTACTGTCCTCGCCCCCTGCAAAAAATAAAAGATTCAATGACAAGCTTTTGGTGTACTTGGAGAGGATACAGAGGGAGAAATGGCCAAGGATAGAACTCTAGGAAATGCATACCTATTTAAGCGGATGTTAGTGGAAGAAAAGGCTCTGCAGAGTTGTAGGAAGACTACAGTGTTACTTTTCAAAGAGAAGGAAATTAATATGAGGTGTCATATGCCAGAGATCACCTTGTTAAAGTCTGTCCATTATAAACTAGTTTTTATGACTACAGACTACACTACTAACCCTAGCTAATTGTTTTGCAAATATTTGATCTTACTCAAAGAGAAAGTAGGTGATGAGTATGAATGATTGGATCAATACAAATTGATTCCCACCTCTAGAAGTCAACTTCAGTATACTAATGTATTGAGAAGGCAGTATATTTTCATGTAAGCTAATAAACTGTGTTTCTTTATTATATTACAATTAAATTGCAAAGCAGTATATTTATGTAATTTTATTGCTTTGTATTTATTAGCATCCTGATAGTTTAGACTTTTTAAAGATGTCATGCTTTTAATGTAAAGTCTGGTAATGTAGTATATAGTTAAAGGAGGATGTGTCACCAATGATGGCACATATCCTTTGTATGGTCTGTTTAGTATCTTGTCCTCAGTTTTGTTTGGATATGAGAGATGTACTCATGCTACTCAGCTCAAGAGGTGCTAATTTATATAAAAAAAAAAAAAGCAATTAGTGGAAGCATGTGACCCAGCAGACAAGCTATTCATAGCTATTGATCTATATGAGAAAAATTACAATGGAGTTGAAATACAAGCAGAAGATTGTTTGGTGAATGTAGGATCTGAGCAGTCAGAATTAGCTGGATAATTTTATCTTGATGGTGGGAGAAGAAAATTTGCTTGCCTATTATAATCAGGGTTCTATTGTGGGTGCTATAGATAAAATTCAGCTGTCAGTGAGGGTCTATGATAAGTAGGGGGTGTATAGGGTCCAGAGATAAGTATGTCTCTCTGCATTAAATTATTTTGTTGAGGGCAATGATAAAGAATCCACAACATTATTTTAGCTAGTAAAGGAATTGGTGTCAGGAATATGTAATGTCATATGTTTAGTGCAAATGGATTTTGAAATGCACTGAATACTGTAATAATTTTTCTTTGAACCCACAGGGTCTCCTGAAAAGAAAGTTGAACAGTCATCTATGACTCAAGAAAACAGTACTGCAAACCCTATCAAAAATGGAAAAACAAGTCCAATATCTAAAGATCAGAGGTCTGGAAAGAAAACCTCAGAGAATTCATCAGTACGGGGTCAAGTGCAAAAGGGGAATGATGACTCTGAAAGTGATTTCGAATCAGATCCCCCTTCTCCTAAGAGCAGTGAAGAAGAAGAGCAAGAGGATGAAGAAGTTCCAGGAGAACAAGATTTTAATGATGATGATACTGAACCAGAAAATCTGGGTCATAGGCCTCTCCTCATGGATTCTGAAGATGAGGAAGAAGAGGAGAAACAGAGCTCTGATTCTGAGTATGAACAGGCTAAAGCAAAGTACAGTGGCAGTGGACTAACCCAAGATCCTAACACAGCACTCCTCACCCCAACCCACTTACCCTCCAATGTTGAGATGGAGACTTGCAAACAGGAGTTTGATGTGTTTGGTGCTGTCCCCTTCTTTGCAGTACGTGCTCAGCAGCCCCAGCAAAGAGAGAATGAAAAGAACTTCTTTCAACAGACATTACCTACTGTGGGACTAGAGCAAGAGGAATTTGATGTTTTCACAAAGGCACCCTTTAGCAAGAAAGTGAATGTACAGGACTGCCCTGCAGTAGGGCCTGAGGCACATACTCTTCCTGGTTGTCCCAAAAGTGTAGACGTATTTGGCTCCACTCCCTTTCAACCCTTCCTCACATCAAGTAAAAGTGAAAGCAAGGAAGACATTTTTGGGCTTGTGCCCTTTGAGGAAATAACTGGGAGTCAACAGCAGAAGATCAAACAACGCAGCCTACAGAAACTGTCTTCTCGCCAGAGGCGCACGAAGCAAGAGATGTCCAAAAGTAATGGGAAGCGGCATCATGGCACACCAACTAGCACAAAGAAGACTTTGAAGCCTACCTACCGCACTCCAGAGAGGGCTCGCAGGCACAAAAAAGTGGGCCGCCGAGACTCTCAAAGCAGCAATGAGTTTTTAACCATCTCAGACTCCAAGGAAAACATCAGTGTTGCACTGACTGATGGCAAAGACAGGGGGAATGTCCTACAACCTGAGGAGAGTCTGTTGGACCCTTTTGGTGCCAAGCCATTTCACCCTCCAGATCTGCCGTGGCACCAGTCACATCAGGGCCTGAGTGATATCTGTGCTGATCACAATACCGTCCTGCCTGGACGGCCAAGACAGAATTCACTACATGGGTCATTCCATACTGCAGATGCGTTGAAAATAGATGACTTTGGTGCCGTGCCCTTTACAGAACTCGTGGTGCAAAGCATCATGCCACATCAGCCTCAACAGTCCCAACAAGTTGAATTAGACCCATTTGGTGCTGCTCCATTTCCTTCTAAACAGTAGATACTTCTGATGGATTCTTGGCATTAACTCCTGTTTTAAAAAAGTATGAATAGTTTTATGAATTTCAAAGAAAATTTATTTGTATAGCTCTTTATATCATTCATTCTTATAGGTCAATCAGGATAGGCAATTTTTAAATAAACCAAATAGAAAAAGGAAGTTTCATCTCTACAGGGTAGTAACTTAATGCCTCTTCCAAACAAGAGGAAAGGGAGGTAAATAGAATGCTCTGACCAAGGGTTTCTGCTACTGATAGCAGGGCACAGAAATATAAGTTGGTACTTCCCATGAAAGCACATGGGAAGACTGCCTGTCTATGAAGTAGTCACTGAGAAGAGACAGGAAAGGTGTTAACCATTTTTGATATCAGAATGTCACTTGTGTGCATATTCCAGGCTCCAGCATTTAAAACTAGTCTGATTTGTACATCAAAGTTGCATTTGTGAATTTTAAGTCTCTTCTAATTTCCACACAGTAAGAAACAAGATAGCTCTCAAAGAATTAGGAAGATATTGTCTGCAAAGTGTGGAAACTTCAGTTCATACACCTTTCTCTACAAGCAGAGCCAGAAATAACTATTGTGCCTAAAACTGTTGCATTTTTAAAAACAAGTGCCATTGATATTGAATACATAATGATAAATATGTGAAATGATGTATATATTATTAGATCAATTTAGCTCTTCTACAATGTATACATATTTGAAACATGTTACACATGATAAACATATATAATTTTTATATGTCAATTAATACATTGCAAAAACATGGAATATCTAATGGAAGCCTAGAACAAAAAAATTAAAATATCTGGTAAAAGAAAAGAATGATATGTAAGAAAGAAAAAGCATTTGATACTTTAGAAACACTTTATGTTGTTTTTGAATGGCTTCTTGCCATTCAAACTTTTATTATCATGTCCCTAATCAAGCACATTATTGAAAAAAACAAAGACTGTGAGTGAGGAAAAGAATTATATAGAAATTTTATTTCAGGAAAAAAATATAGCTGAAACCTTGACTTTTAAGATGTTTACAATGTAAAATCATTTTGCAAATAATAATGTACTTTATTAAACTATACCTCCATCAAATATTCCCCAAGTTATGAGCAAGTTATTTTCCTTAGGTTTAGAGGTGGAGTAGTTTTAATAAAGTGCACACAACAGTGACACCCACAAAGCCTTACAGGCAGGACTTGTGCATCCTGCTGCAAGTACCTCTGCACTAACACACCAGACCCACAATGGACACAAAGGTGAGATGATGAGGGACTAGCATCCTAAACCGCTAGCTGTGTCTTTTGTGAAAAGAACCCAGCTACCAAATTTGCCTTTTTTTATACCACAGATCCTTGAGGTTTTGTATCAGTTGTTTAGTGATAGTAATTACATATATGAATTAATGTGAAAACAGTATTTGTGCTTCCTGTGTCTGTTTTAAGTTATAACTATCTTTGCCTGACAGATTAATGCTTGGAAGTTTCTAGAACTGTTAAAACTATTTACAAAAAGGGTTAGAAACTCTTACCAGTTGGCACTCTAGTATATTTTAAATTAACTCTTTGAATTCAAATGTATTTTATGAATCTTACTAGAATCTTAATAGCTCCCCAAAAGGGGAAGTTATTTGCCTATTGCCTATTTTTCACAGTTCTGAACTTGGAAAGAAGCAAAGTTTATGTAACTGAACCACATATCCGTTTTTATTGCTTCCTTTTTTTTTTCTATATGCTAAATGAGAAATGTGTGGAAGGGGAAGCAGTATGTGAATCATAATGTAGCAGAGGCAGACCAAGCATTACATCACTACTTACAGTTGTGCTTTAGAGCTGGGCTGCACCAGTTACTGTCCTTGTGCCAAAGGCAAATAATATGTTTGCACCTTTTTTTTTTCTCTTATTCTCAGGTTGATTAATACTGCTAATGCAAATGCTCAAGTAGAGGTTTTTTACAAAGTAGATTCAAGTGATACTTTCTTTTAAAAGAATTGATGATTACACATAGTAAATTAATGAACTACAGTAGGTGTGTATCAAACAGAAGAAATTTTAAAATGAAATCTGTTGCTTAATGTGTACAAAATACGCTTCTTTGACTGTTGTCCTTGGCCTCTGCTAGACCTCGTGAGTTCATTCAGGAGAGTAGATGAACTAATGTGAGCTCCTTGGGATGTAAATATGAAACAAAATACGTAATTTTACTTGCTCTTCAATACACTGAATAATTTTAGACTCAAACACTGATGTAGACCCTTTGGCTTACAATATTGGATAAACTGAGGAAACATCTCTGCCATAGCTTAAAATATTTATATTTTTGTTTATTATAGCATATCCTGGAGACTCTCTTGAGATTGTAGCTTAGAATGAAGATTTAGGATTGAATTGGGAATCCAGTGGGATAGAAATGGGAAAACTCCTTTGTGTAGGATTTAGAGGCATTTAAAGATTTTTATTCATCACCTCCCACCTGCATGGTGCAGAGCCCAGGTAATTCCCTCATGAGAATGGCGCTCCCAAGGCAAGTGAAAGTACGTAACGTAATACCTGGCACACAGAACTCTGTAAAGTTTTGCTGTATTATGGAATGCTCCAATTCTGGTTTAAGAAATGTTGGAAAAATTATTTTCCAATTGTTTGGGTGTGCCCTGTACTTCAAAGGGTGTGAAGTAGTCATAACTAAACCTGATATACTTGAACACCACTAAGGGAAGTAACATATTATGAAACTAGCAAAACCTGAGGCCAAAGTTGTTTCCTAACAGCTTTAATACTGCTTAAGTTCGAACCGTCTTTTTAAAAAAGTGGACCATTTGCTTAACTACATTATTATACTTCAGTAAAATGTTAGTATTAAAAAGATCAGCTCATATGGCATTAAGGAATGCATCTTATAAGACACAAAAACAGCTTGGTATATATAATAGGTTGAGGAAAGATTGTAGGCTGGATAGTAATTGATTAGAATATTTATTTGAAAGTGTAAACATCCCCACACCTGTGTGTGTGCGTGCGTGCGTGCGTGCGTGTGTGTTTTGGGCATAGTTATGACATTATCTGGATCTGCAGATAGCTGGATCTTTCATTCCTACCCTATTTACTGTTTAACAGTAATAGATAGTTCTCATTTTGCTGGTGGAAAATACTAAGCGTCCATTCTTCTGTGCTGGCAATCATCAGGCAGAGCAGTTTCCTGACTACTTGGCTACTCTGCTTTATTTTAGATTTTGGTACTACACATGAGCATTGTTAGAAGGTACAAGTGTATAATATCACTAGTTCTGAGGAGTATGGGTACATTTGTTATCATATACACAGAATGTGCACTGAGCTTTTTGATTGTTTCTTTAGAGCAAAACTACTCATCATTTTAGGTCCAATTATTGAGATGATAGTCTACTGTGAGAATGAGATGATATATCTACTGTGAGAATAACCTAAAATGATAGTTTATTTGAAAATTTTATACTGAGTGGTGTTTTATATATTAAGATAAAAATATATATACATGCATGCACATCACATCTCTCTACTTTGGAGTTAATGTGAATTTTTTAAAAGTGGAATCGCAGCCACAATTATATACACAGGAACATTCACTCCTAGAGAGGGTTTACAAAAGCCACTAAAAGAAGAAAGTAGATGAAAATGAAAGGGCCATCATTTTGAGTTATTTTTGTTTTATTTTAAAATTTATAGTGCTTCTTTTGAAAGAATTGTTTTTATTACTATGCTTTTTTTGTGATTGAAATGTCATCTAATAGTAAGCAGTAAACAATCTACTTTTTAATTGCTGGCAAACAGCTTTAAGTGCACTTTCTTTGATTACACTTCCATTTTGTGTTAAACTTGAATTTTCTGAAGACTTACGTACCACTAAGCAAGTAACTTTAACCTTTAAATAAACCAGATTTACATCTTTTTTTATTTCTAGTTATAAAATAAACTTGTTAAAAAGTAACTTCAGTCCTCAACTACAGCTAAGAAACTGTTATGAGATAGAATCAGTTGCTTTTGCCCCTCCTCCCATATCTAATTGAGCACTAATTTTATCACTTTATTGCCTTTACATTGCTTATTCGTGAATTCTGTCCCTGATTCATTGTTTTGTTTGAAATTTATTTTCTTACTGTATTCATCATACCTTCTGTTTTGATAATCTGCTTTCTTTAAATGCAATAAATCCCAAATGGATTGCCTATTCTTTATAATCAGTGACTTTGGAGTTTTTCGTTGTCTTATTAAAAGTTTTGGATATAAACTTCTATTCAGTTCTTTATTTACATCAGACATTAAGCATTTATTACGTAAAATAAGATTTAAGACCCCTGTTCTTAAGGAGCTCACGGTTTAGGATTTAAGAAAACCTGACCTAATTTTTTTTTTTGCAAAAAGAACACTTAATAGTACAATTATTTTAATCACTACTATTTACTGATAAGTTCTTAACGTATCTTCTGAATAATGACACAGTTTTTGCGTCATTTGTAATTTATTTTTTTAAACATTTAAAACGACTGTTAATGTAACTGTTGAAAATCTTTTGGTCAAATAAAATAGTTTAGTGTCAGAAAAGAGGCTTAGGCACATTAAAGAGACAACTGATGGATTGGATTGATGGGGCTAAGCTTGGCATCAGGGCAGCAGTATTACCTTATGTTGCACAAATTGGAGTCTAGATTGTCGGTTTGCAAGTTTCTCAGCCATAAATAAGATTCATCTTATTATCTAAAGTTATATGGAAAAATAAGAGCATTGTATTTTTTTTAAATGAGTACAAAACAGCAAAATACCACAAATGATCAGAAAAGTTAAAAAAGGCAGTTTGCCATTTATCACTGTTCAAATTCAGTTACAGCTAACCTCTTTGGAGAAGAATATATGATACAGTTTGAGCTATTTGTTTTGAATAATTCCTTTTTAAGGAGCCTAACTCAAGCATCATATGTACCTGTTCTCCTATCAGGGCATGAGCTTTTGAAGTTTTATTTGTTGCATGTTTAAAAAGTTCAGATGGTTGGTACAATTGAAATTACGTGCATGCTAGGTAGTATTTTGATGACACATTTGTAGAGCAGGACAAGGACCTTGGTGGCTGTTCATTTGAGCTGTAGAAAGATAAAGAAGTTCACTTTTTACCAGAAGTCCCAATCGTTTTTCTCCCTTCAGGAAATGTATGTGGGGGATTTCTGTTTTTTTCTTTGAAGGTAGCCATTAGTTCTGGAACATTATCTCATTACCCTATAGAAATATGCTAAAAAATGTCTCTTCAATATTTCTCTTCAATATAAACACAGTTATTGTGACAATGCATAGAGAAGACTCTTCTGTCCCTCCCCTAACAGCTGAGATGATTTTTTTCACATTCTATAGGACTGGAATTACCAGGAATGATGATTTTGGGTTGATGTGGGCCTATTCAGCTCAGCAACTGGCAGGAATCCAGAAGTGCAGGCTTTGCCCCTTGACATTTTAATACAGGGCAAAGTGTATCTCTAGTAGGTACCTGCTAAATGGAGAGTTGTACAGCTCTATGCCAGTCAGTCAGAATCTTCACATCGGGTACTCTGTCCAGGTAGGATGCCATAAGATGTGACAGATCCTCCCTGATTCTTCATTCCTGATTCTAAAATACGATTTTAAAGCTATTATGTATTATAAGAATGACAAGCGGCACTTAATATATTTAGTAAACCCAGTTTATTTAAATAATACATATTTTGCCATGCAGCTTACTGAATTGTACTCGGTATAATAAAGACAAGCATTATCTTGCTATTTGAAAATGGCCTTATATAGAAAGATAATTTTTTCTTAAATGAGTTAACTACAACCTAAATCACTATATTTTAAAACAGCTATAGATGATTTTAAAATGTACTTGCAAAGTCTGTAGGTAAAGCGCTTTTATAGTTTATACATAGGTAAAATTAAAATTAGTTTTTAAATACTGTAGATGGATAGTACACTTTTAATCTTAATAAACTGACAAAAATAAATATACATTATTACACGGCTCAGATTTGTAGGCAACTTTTAAATATTCTTTAATGTTAACAATGTCTTAAATTTTTTTTACCAGTAGTGCTGTGCACACAGATGGCCAGTAAATGCTGACATACAGAAATTGATAGCAGTCCATATTCATTCACTCCTTACTTTATAATGTGTGTGTGTGTGTGTGTGTGTGTGTGTATATCAAAGTAAAGATAAAAGTGACAGTAGTTTTCTTATGATATTTAACATTTTCAGAGCATTGAAATGTTTGCTTGGCGTAATTTTCCCTATAGTCACACTTCTTATAGTTTTTAAATTCAAAGAAAGTCACTTAAAAACATTATGCTCTTTTTAAAATTCAGATGTCAAGTATTATGTAACTCATGCACTGTGACCAAAACAAACCCAGGAATTTAACAAAATGAAAAGTAAAACTTTTAATATTCAGTGCATTTTATTTTGAGAACATTTTATAGTAAAAGTGGTTCCATATCTCACATAACTGGACTTTCCCCTCATTTTTAACTTGGTAATAGCTACTTAGTGTATTTTATTTGGCCAAAATGACAGAATGTGTATTGAAAAGCATTATGATGTAAGTAAGGGATGTTTTAGGAGAAATACTTGTTACTGTTATACCACAATCTTTTAGCCTTGGCACATCAATTGAATTTGTGGCCATAACGAGGTACAATAGCCGTTTTCAAAATAGCATTCCATCATAATGGTTGTGACATAGTGTGCCCTTACTGGGCCTTCTACAGGAAAACTCCCCTTGCTGAGATATTGGCATGGGGAATTTATATTCCAAAAACACTATACTAGAAGCAAACACATTTTACAGAAGCCTAAACTGAGGCACATTAAAGTAACGTTCCTAATACTGGATGTACGAAAAACATTTTGGGACTACGCTTCAACAAAAAATATTTTGTGATATTCAGTTAACAACTATACTATTGTGAAAAATATACCAATATTTAAAACAGCTTGTCAACTCATTAAGAAACTTCAGTAATATTTTGTATTACAATAGACAAGGTAAGTTTTTATAAATTCTATAAAGGATGTGTATGGGAAGACCAAAGAACAAGAGACTTTTTAAACAAGAGCAAGTTTAATGCTTCAGGTCCAAAAATTTGAGTTCTCGATGCAATGCTATCACATGCTTGAACAGGACTAGAGCACAGGTGAGTAATCTCGTCATCAAATGGGGCATCAGCAAGACTTTGCACTAAGGCTTAAGGCTCATTTCAGGGTCAAGACAGGGCCATCTAGATCCTATGGCAATGGAAGTAGCACCCATATACCTACAATTCCATCATCATGAAATTCAGGACTACAGATTTAAAGATGAAAGCTCTTTGGGGATCAAAAATCTTTCAATCCACTCTCAAGAATTCAATTATAAAATGGAATTAAATAATACCTCAAAAGGCTTAGGTGGCTAATGATTTGATTACTAGACCAAAGAATTGTTGCTTATTCATGTCCTTAGTTTCTAATGTGATTATCTGATTAAAAAGTAATAATGCATGTTTTCTTCCTATTAACATCTCTCCCAAAGGAGAAGTTTAAAGTTTCTGTTCCCGCAAACTAAAGTTTAGTGTTCCTAAGGAGAGAACTGCAACCAAAAGTATCTTAAGTGCCATTTCTCATAAACCATATATTTAAAGGCTGTGATTATTCAAAATCACTCTTAGTTTGTAATAAGCATAGGCTGTAACAACCTTTGCCTTGATTAGGCACTTAAATTTGATAATTGAATGAAAACATCTACTAAAGTCATCACACCAGGATGACTCCATTTCCAATGGAGATGAGCCCTTCCTACAGAAATTAAGCTGGTATTAAGTAAAAATGGATCCTATTTCTACACTAGTTTTACATTCAGTGTTGCTATTCAGATGTTTCTTATGATCGCCAACTAAATTTTCACTTTCTGTACAAGCAGCATATTCATAGTTTTAAGGGTCTGTAGTTATTGCTACAGATCCCCAAGTACATCTTTCCATTTTATAAAGCTTTACTTATACATTAAAGACAAGGAAAAAGGAAAAAACTAATGGGAACCATAGAAATAGTGGGGTCTATAACTCCCCATTGTATATTGCTTAACTACTGAATTCACCAGGTAGCCATACCTGAATTCACAAATGTGAAATATAGTCAGGACAAGGCTTGCTGTGTCTGTACTGCATGACATATACTGTGGACTGATGCCACCAATATAACATCACTACTGCAAGGACATGCCATATTTGGTGGCTTGATCCGAGGTAGTTTAGTTGTCCTGGAAGGGAAGGTGAAAGAAATTAATGTTGATTGCACTATTTCAAGGTTAAAAGAAAAATATATTTTTGTCCCTGGCCTTAGAAATATGGCTTAGCAGTTGAACAGTTGTGGTAGTTTCAGTGCTTCGAGGCTCTACTTTTTATAAAAAGGATACACTCATATTTGACCCTAACTTTAAGGTTTTATTCATTAAGTACACAGATGCATTTTAGAAATGCTATTCCCGGTGTGTTTGAAGTCTAACTTAATTTCAGGAATTTGACCTTATGCCTCCCATGTCTTTTAACACACATCTGGGGACAATGGAAAAACGACCATTACATGAGAGATGCAAAAGAAACTAGCATTACAAATTGGGGAGTGATTTAGGTTTGAACTCTGAGAAGTAGATGCACTGCTGTTTAGATATGAACCTGCTAGGAGAGCTTTTTGTACAGGTATGCAAGGAGAAAACTCAGACCAGAATCTTGCACTAATGCAATATATCTTAGTTCTCATACAACTTCAGAGAACTATTTTTCTTTGTGCTTAAATGTTAAATTCTGAGGAGATTAGATAATTAACATGTGGGAAGCTTCTTGACCTTTTTCAATAAATAACAAAATGCAAAACTGTAAAAACTTGTCAACTTCTTACTAATGGTGCCTCTTACGGTCATGTAAATATTTTTTAGCCTCTTAATAATAATTAGTACAGAAATAGATTTTAAAGTCTAAGCCAGTAGAATTTTTTATGGGTTCTTAGCCTTTCTTTGGTGCCATGGACTCCTCTGACTTCAGTGAAACCTACAGACCCAGTTTTAAAAAAAACAAATACAAAAGATTGTAAAGAAAACTAACTATCTTGTAGCATAAGTATCAGAAAGTCACTCAGTTCTATCCATGAATACCTTGGAGATCCTTGGTCACATCAACCACCACTGTGGTATTTGTATATTAAAAAAATTTTTGCCTGAGCTGAATGTAAGTTTTTGGGCTGAATTTTATTTCCCAGTATTCACTATTTGCATGCATGCTTCTTTCATACATGAGAAAACCATGTATACATGAGCATTTGAGACTATCATTTAAGACCAGTTTTATAGTCTGTCTGCATTGCTCTCATGTACTTGTACTCAACCATACAGTCACCTGGGCACATTCTATGTCAAGCTCACCTTGGAGGAGAACTACCTAGCAGCTGATTCTATCCTGGGCCATTCTTAAATCCTGATCTGAATACTTTCAGGCTTAAAAACACATAGCCATGATCACATGGTACAGAAAATTTTCATGGTTCAAATTTCTATTTTTGGTGAAGAAACAATATTTATGTATTTCTAAAAAATTATTTTTTGCAGTGCTGAGGATCAAACCCAGGGCCTCAGGAATGCTAGGCAAGCACTCTACTCCTAAGCTGCATCTCTAGCCCCAGAATTTTAATAGAATTGTAAAGAATTATTAATAAAATGCTACAAAAATGTACTAAACCAGAATTGTGGTCTTCAATTTAGAGACATGTCCTAGTTATGTTCCCAAGTTCTACAGGTACATACTTGGGGGTTTTTGTTTTCCCATTCTTATTTAAAGCCCAGGGGTGAAAACCCAGGCACAGAAAAATGACTGAGGATCTTTAATGGGCATTTTCTCTAGACCAGGGCTTCACATCCCTTTACTACCTCCAATTCACTGCAGAAGTGATATATATATGTATTTTTTTTTTTTTTTTGGTGGGTAGAGGGGCAGTATTGGGGTTTGAACTCAGGGTCCTGTGCTGGGCACTCTACCACTTCAGCCATACATCCAGTCCTTTTTGCTTTAACTATTTTTTCAGATAGGGTCTTGAGTTTTTGCCTGAGGCCAGCCTCAGATTGCAATCATCCTACCTATGCCTCCTATGTATCTGGTATTATGGATGTGCACCACCATATCCAGCTTATTGGGTAAGACGGGGGTCTCACTAACTTTTTGCCTAGGCTAGCCTTGAACCACGATCCTCCCCATCTCTGCCTCCTGAGTAGTGGGATTACAAGCATGAGCCTATGTGCCAGGCCACAAAGGAGGGACAAGTTTGTGATCTGAATTTAAACTGCTTCCTGACTTCCACTCCTACAAATTGAAAAAATCACTAAGTCACTAAGTCAAGCTAAACTTTACCTGGATTTGCATCATTTTGTCCCTTATTCAACCACACATTTCACTTATGTAACTAAGGTTGCAGGACATCATGCTAGTAATTGCTAACATTTATTGAGTGCATACTGCCTATTAGAAACTGTGTTTTATGTGCATTTTCTTATCTAATCCTCACAATAACCCAAAGAGAAAAAAACATTATCTCTGCGTTTCAGGAAAGGAAGCTGGACTAAGAGAGTTTAAATGTTACTTAGCTCATGCAGCTAACTCCCCAAGCAATGAGTTCACACTCCACTCAGTGTCCTCTTATTTTCCTCAGAAAGTTTTCTGTCTATACTAAAGAACTGAGAAGTCTTCTTTAGTGACTGGCTTGTGATATCTTGGGGAAACGAAGTCTCTACGCTTTTATTATTTACTTTCTATCTCTGGATGCCAGATGTGTGGCCTTTATCTATAGAACCTTGTTATGTACACGCAGTGGTTCTCTCTTGTGCATGAAGACTACATTCTAAGATCCCTCAGGATGCTGTGGATAATATTAAACCCTATATTTACCGTTTTTTTCCTATGACATACCTATGATAACATTTAATTTAGGCACAGTAAGAGATTAAAAAAGTAAAACATAACAAGTATAACAATGTACCATAATGAAATTTATGGGTATTTAATGGGTTAAACAGACACAGTGAACTGCAGTTTACCACAGACAACTGATAGTGCAGGTAAGGGGGTGGCCACTACTATACTGGGAAGTAAGCCAAACTTGGCTTCATCATCCTTTTTTTATTGTCTTTTGTCTCTTTTCTTCCCTTATTTCTTGCTTTATATATCTCTGCCGAGAAAACTGCAGTTGGTAATAGAAGAAAATGGCAGCTGATAGTACTCCACTTGAAAAACAAAAAAGCTACAATGGTGACTAACAATCACAAAATTCTTAGAAGCTAATGCCAGTCTTTTCACTAGTTCAGAACTAAAACAGTGGTAACTTCACCCACTGGATCCAGTTTAAACAGTGAGGATGAAAGGAAAAGTTTGTGAAAGCCTTTTAAAAGTTAAAAAGTTAAAGCTGGAGATAATGTTGGGAATAGAATAATCATAATTGATAATATTGAAAGTAAATTTAAAAAACCATGGAAAAGAGAAACCTACCTGGAAAATACCGTTCTGGAACTTTGGAAATGTAGAATAGGAAAGCAAGAAGAGCAATCACATACATCACAACTACACGGGGTGCAAAGTCCTGAAAAGCAAAGCATGTTTTTTCACAGGTTTTCCTATAGTCAACTGAATTCTCAATTATGAGTACAACAGTAGAATTTAAGATTGCTAAACCTAAATTATTCTGCAGATAGTCTTCAATAACTGAAGCACTGCTCTCATTCTGCAGGAAGCAGTGCATAGGAATGGAATGCAGCAGATGCCCTAAAAGTTAGACTACTATAGGAGCTACAGCTTTAGCAAACCTAAAATGTAGGAACAGGAGTGGAATGCATATGGGAACAGATCTAAACAGTTCTGCTTGTGACAGAAATCTCTTCCAATGTCCCTGACAAATGGCCCTCGAATATTCCTGTGTGAAGCACTCCACCTTACTGCTGATGCTCTGTTGAAAAAGGTTAACCAGCCAGCTTAACATATACATTCTGTTCCTAATTCTGATTACAAACCTGATTTGCCAAAAAGTCATGGAAAGAAATATAAACAAATTATGTCCCTTTCCTCTTCAAAATATGAAAATTATCATGGTTCTCCTTAAAGTCTATGTTCTTCAGAGTTAATCAACCTCAGGTTTCTCAAATATTCTAGAACACAACTTCTCCCAAATTTCAGGATGAATCCTCCTGGAAGTTTTCATCTTCAGTGAGGGCCTCTTTCCATTTTTTTAAGATGTGAGATTAGATAGTTTCTCTGAAAGCTTCCCTTTGCTTGCTCACTGGAATTATCTGTGGTCATATTAGAATTCCATCTTTGAGAACCACTGTTAGGTCATATTTCTATTTTAAAATTTATTAAGATGGTAATTTCTCTTTTCCTGAATGTCTCTAAAATCCATTGACTTAATTGGTCTTGTTCTTTTTCTTTGTCAATCTATGCTTTCCACATCCAAAATTTTAATCACTTATGTTATCAACAAACAGTTAACTCACTTCTGGTTGGAATTAACTCTAGGGCAGCTGTTTCACACTCTATTTTCTTTTTCTTGGGGAATCCAAAGTGTCAGAAAAATTACCATTTCTACAACTAACAGGATCATTTATGTCCCTTATCATTCTGCTCCATTACATCTGTCTCCTAATTTCCCAATCTTATTTAAAAAAAAAGAAAAAAGAAAAAAAGCTCTACCCTTGTTTCTGAATTAGATCATGTCATTCAACACATTCTGTCACAGAACTTCCTTTCTTTTCAGTGGTTTACAAAAGTGCTTTCCTCCATGCTGTTGGTAACTTCCTGCAAGTGAATGTACCCTAAGAGATCCTCCTCTGCTACTAAATTGAATCTTTTGGAACAAACCAGCCTTTAAAGTCCCACGTTCTAGACAAAAGTCTCATCACAAGTGTGATTTCTGCCAGGTTTTTTTTTCCTTTTTTGTTGTTGTACTGGAATTTAACTCAGGGCTTTGCACTTGCTAGGCAGGTTCTCTACTGATTGAGCCACACCTCCACCCCTCTGCCAGCTTTCTTACCAAATATTAACCTATGTTAAAAATTTTCAATTTTACTCGCTTGCGTATCCTTAGAGCATTTTATAAGGATCTCTATGAACAAAAGTCTTATTTCTAATTCTTTTTTCAAGAACACTGAGATCTCACTGAGGTTCTCCCTAATTTGTATCAACTGCTCCCCCACAATACCTGCTCCCCCACAATATCTGCTCCCCCAAATATTTTCCTTGGTGGGTTGAATATTCTTTCCTGGTTCCAGGTACCACTATGATGATGACTTCCAAATTTCTGCAAGTCTCAAGCCCCCTTAAATTCCAAGTACTATATGTCTATTTTACATTCCCATAGGTACCTCAAACTTAATGTACCCCCAAAAACTCCTTCCTAATGTCTCATCTCCCCCCATCAACTGCTCCCACTTCCATAATTTGATTATCATCAGTATTATTACTGACTCAGCTAGAAACTTTGAAATTCTCCTCCACAGATACGGACTTAGGTATTTATAAACTAAGGTAAACAGAAAAAAGAACCAAGAATGTGTTATTTCATAGCATGACATCTTAGAAAAAAACAGTAGTCAGACTGTACCTAATTTTGAAAGGTATACTTATTGATAGAGCTGTGAAAATAATGGTGACAATATGCCATTTAAAAAAATGCTCTCAAATGACTCAAACCCAGTGGCCTGATTACACTACTTTATCCCAAAGAAACAAAAGTGAAAGATGAAAAAAAAATGAAGAAAAACAATGACTACACTCAACCTACCTGTACGATAGGAGCACCGATTCCTCCATTGAGCCAAACCCAGTGAAGAGTAGGGATTACTCCATAGCCCGAAACAGAACAAAAGATGATAGAGCGGAGCCTCTGCCACTGCTGTGTGAGGTAACTGGGATGAATCTGGGCAAAGAATACTGCCAGGATCATCGCAAGCACGGTGATCAAGTATACTTGACGCCAATACTAAAATGAAAGGAGATCAAATTTTAATTCTATTAACAAGGGCACGGAAAGAGTAATTATGGCTTCTACATTACAAACCCCAAGCTCTATCTGCCTAGTATTTAAATTTCCAAACAGGATTATTTTCTTAACCATGTGTTCCATATTATTTTCTTAATTTACTAAAAGAACTAGTAAAAGACCACATTTATTCTTAAAAAAACATTTTTCTGAGTTCCTATTATATGCCAGGCACTGTCTAAGTCCTGTATAAACAAAGCTGATTATGACATGGACTCTTCCAGTGGGTGAGACTTTGTCTTTACATAGACTATGGGAGGGACAGACATATAAACAAAAGGTTATCTAATGATAAAAATTATAACTGGGTTACAAATAGAATGTTGTAGAACCAGTAAAAGCAACAGTGAATGTTACCTAGGATAGCTAAAAATGCTTCATAGAGGAGACAACATCTGAGCTAGGTCTTGAAGAGCACATAAGAATGTGTGGGAAGGAGCACTCAAGGAAAAAGAAGTAGCAAATGCAGCAGAGAAATTTGGAGAGGAAGGCTGAAAGGCAGGTGAGGTTAGGCTTTTCAACCTTACCATATTGACACTGGGTGTTAAGAATGGGATGATATCAGTGTAGAAAAGAAAGAGGTGAGAGGAAGCCAGTGAAAGATATTCAGATAGTTTATTCAAGAGAGAATTCTATTTTTTGTGAAAAGAATTCCCTAGTAGGTATATTGCTCCTGAGGGAAAAGTGTAGTTGTGGCTCTGAAAATGAGGTAACCAAGTGAACAAAAATTAAAAAGCAGAGTATGGTAGGAGAGGAGGAAAAGACAGCAAGGTCGATAGGACTTTGTTTTTTTTCTTTGTCTTTCTTAAAAATGTATTTGTTTTTTGATACAGGCTCTGCTATATGGTCCAAGTAGGTCTCAATCTCATGATTCTCCTGCCTTAACCTCCTGAGTGCTGAAATTACAGGTTCATTACCATGCCTAGATTGAAGGTACTTTCTGAATAGGCAAGCTTGAGATGTATTGTGCCCATGAGAAAATTTGAATTTGCCTTCTAGCTGAAACATGAGGGGATGTGTTAGAGGGTTATAGTCCATAAAGCTTGGCTAGTCAGCATTTTTAGGTCAGGCGCTGTTATTATCTGATCACAGAGTTACAAGTGCTGCTTTGCACAAGGCAGAAACTAACTTTTGAGACCTTAAAGACAGAAAGCAGAGTTGAGCCAGAACTCAGAACAGACATGTATTTGTTTAAGACAATCGCAAGTATCCTTATCAAGATCCATCTAGTCTATCTCTAGGCCTACTATGACTAAGGGAAGGAAAAACATATTTCTTATTAGAAGAATAGAGGCCCATACACACACAGATCTACCTTCATTTTTTTTACTGAGAAATAAAGGATAAAAAGGGATATGGAAGTAGCCAACTTCATAATTTTTTATCAAATGCTAACTTTGCTTAACTTCAATTCTGCAAACACAAAAATAAAAGATATGTAATGTGCATGTCTCAGGAAGCATGTAGCCATATGGATTTAGTGAAAACATGGTAATTCAATGCCTATAAAGTATGTCTATGTACACTTTTTTCAATGGAAAATTTGTAAAGTAAGCATTCAACTGATAATAGATGTTAGAGACCAAAAGAACTTTTGAAAAATAAGTTTATGCCCGCACAAGACTCTTCTGTTCATACTATCATCTACTTTTGTACTTACTTAGAAATTCAAAGGAACTATTGCAAGAAAACCCAATACCTTATGAATGGTTGAATGTGAAATGTTTTAAATTACTTACATTGTTGCAGTAAAATGCATAAAATACTCCTGAGACATAGCAGCCGAGTATTCCAATAGAGATTCCTGCATAATCTAAGGCCATCCATCTTCGACAGGTTTTTTCTGATCGATGACAGGAAAAAAGATGATAGCCCACAGAGCAAAGCATGCAGACCTGTGGAAAACAAAATAAAATCTTTACAAGAAAGTCAAACAAAAAGAAATTAAAGCAGTCTCATACAAGATGTTCAGGGAAGTGGTTAAGAGTCCACACTTTCGAGTCCAACACACCTTGGCTTGTATTCTAGCTTTGTGCCTGCAAGTCATTTCATTTCTTAAGTCTCAGTTCTCTCATGGGTAAGATGGGAACAAAAATCACAAAAAAGAAAATTTAAAATGATATCTATTTTATAATATAACATTACAAATGTTATAATATAACATTACAAATAACAGACAGAATTGGGAAAAGTATAAGATGCAAATGTTTTAAAAATATGAGATTTTGATCCAGGAATGAGTTTACTTTTAAAAACTACCTACTAAAGTAACAGATGCCCCTAAAAAAAAAATCAAAGAATATAGGATTATATGATGTAAAAAACATAAGCCCCTCTAGTTCCATGAGGTAGTCACTGAAAAAATTTACATGTACTTTCAGATATTTTCTTTTTTTAAAATTATTTTATTATTCATATGTGCATACAAGGCTTGGGTCATTTCTACCCCTGCTCCCACCCCCTCCCTTACCACCCACTCCGCCCCCTCCCTCTCCCCACCACCCCTCAATACCCAGCAGAAACTATTTTGCCCTTATTTCTAATTTTGTTGTAGAGAGAGTATAAGCCATAATAGGAAGGAACAAGGGTTTTTG